ATCACCATCAACGGGAGGAATTTGAAAGTGGTTACTTCATTCGCTCATCTAGGGAGCATTGTTTCAACTACAGGAGGAACGGACGAGGATGTCAAATCGAGAATCGGGAAGGCAAGAAACACATTCATCAACCTGAAACCAATCTGGAAACCTTCCGCTGTCACTCAGTATCAACAACAAAATTCGGATTTTCAATACAAACATCAAGTCAGTCAGTTCTTCTATACGGATCAGAAACTTGGTGGGTCACAAAGAATATTTCCAACAGCCTGTTGCAGACCTTTATCAACAACTGTCTTCGTTCTATACTGAAGATTAGATGGCCGCCGGAAAGAATCACCAACAAGAAACTATGGGATGAAACAAAACAAGAACCAATCGCCCAACAAACATGCAGGAGAAAATGGAGGTGGATCGGACACTTACTGAGGAGGCCGCTGGTTGACATCGCGCGTCAGGCCAGTGCTCGAGTGGAACCCGAAAGGGAAGCGGCGAGTGGGACGTCCAAGGGTGACGTGGAGGAGATCGTGTGAAGAGAAACTGAAACAGTATGGACTAACATGGATGCAGGTGAAAAGTACAGCAGAAGACAGAAGCAGGTGAAGACGTGCAGTTGAAGCCCTATGTTCTACTAGGAGACCAAGGGAACAATAATAATAATTGGAAAATACAACTAATTTGTGATGTCATTACCAACAAAATGTATAGAAGCGATCAATACTGAAGAAACAGGTAATGATAGATATATATTAATTACATTCAAGTATTTCTTTGTTTTGTAAATTACCACCACAATGAATATCAATCATGTATAGAAATTAAAGTTGAAAGTTTATTAAACGAATGAGAATAACTTTGCTTGTGTGTGTGTGTGAGTGTGTGTTTACACGTACATGCATATGAATGCACCTTGAAGAAAAGCAAATTCATTTGCTTAATTCATTTACCTACTACCCTCTGCCGTCCATGTCTTTTCCATTCTAATTACCTACCTGTATACTTAAATAGACTGATTAATTACACGACAATATCAATATTAATATCACTATGTTTCATAATCAATAAGTAATATAAATAAAATAAAATCAGATTTGTTTATTTTAAACTTTCAAGAGTTGCTTTATAAGGATTTCATTTGCTTTTCGACTTTCACTACGGATTGATATCGGTTAGAGCACCATTGAAAACCACGGAGAACTAGACGGCTGTTTCATCCTAGTCTGAGAATCATTTGCAGTAGGCATCCATCACAGGGTTTCGAACCCACGACTTTCGGGTTACACGGCCAGCTCTTAGACCATTCAGCCACTGGGACGCGACTCTAGCGATTCGTGATTTTAGCGAGACCACCAACCAATGTCTTGGGTAGGAACTCCACCCTCACTCCCGACTGGATGTACCTTACTGGTCATGACTTCTAACTAGAACTCCAGAAAACTACGTCCTGAAGCAAGTCACTAGCGAACACCAGATTAATTTTCAATAGCTGATTTGTAAGGATGTTTGTTTTTCTAGTAGATTAATTAAAACATGGAGGTAAGCCTGAGTTAACATTTCCACCAACTTAAATGAGGTTAAACTTAAGCTATTCTGAAAAACTTCACCCTATGAAGACACTATCGACTGCTTTTTTCTCACATATAGAATGATAAGTGACCACTTAAATGTTAGTGTATTCTAAAATTCTTATCGACAGCACTAAGTACATAATCACTGCAGTTACTATGGTAACCAATGCTCAGCAGCCAGTTTTACGATATTTGATCTTTCAGTAAAAGAACCAGCTGATGAACACCACTTTTGACATAAATAAACGATATTTATGCGTAGAAATAGGCGATCAGAAATCAGAATAAATTACCCAATGATTTTCATTGAAAAACAAATGAAGTGAAAATGATGTGAGCAGCACTGATTATGGATGGTGGTGATGATGGTGATGCTAATGATAACAAGCTGATGATGAATAATTTTTTCATCTATTCTTTTAGCAATAAAGGTAATATATTTATGCAAATTAGTCACTTGATGTTAACTACTACTACTAAAACAGCAGCCAGCTAGATACTTTCTAAAATATGTTTTAATGGAAATCAGCTGATCAGGTATGCAATGCTGTCACCTAGTTTTATGACACTATACTACTGATGAGCAAGCACTGTGACATACTGTGATTTATTAATATAAGAAGTTAAGATGAATGGAATTGCACAGGAAGGCTGACTTGATATGAGTTTCATGCATGACAGTAATTATTAAAATAGCGTTATTATGCTGCTTTCGAGGAAATTCATTTTCTCTATGTCGACTATCTAAACAAGACACTTCACTGAGATACTCTGTAGCACTGGATTATTATTTATGGGGATTTATCAGTTAATAAAATTCAGTTAACATATGCTGGAATTGTTCTACATTTACAATACACGACAAATGTGATTGGTGTTTTTATTCTTTTAATTTCCATTTGGGACATAGGGCTCTGAAGCTTCAGCAATAGTAGTTTTATTTTTGTGGAATGAGATTGCTAGCCTTACGCCCATTCTTCCACTTTTGCCAAGCTTACTATACTACCTAGGATAGGTTGAGGAGTGTGTCACTTGGGGCTCGAACCCTAAACCATGTACTCCTCGTCATCTAATGACGCGTTTGACCACCCGTCGTTTAGTGTGGGACTTAGCAGGGAGGACCTGCATGCGGTGCGAGGTGTGAAAACCTTAGACCATCGTGTGCTTTCCAGTATTGGCTTCTCTTGTGAAAGTCTCCATTTCGTTACTCTGTTCCGCCCAGTGCTCTGAGTATCAACATGAAGAAACTCACCCAGGCATGGGTAATCGCGGGGCGGAGACATAGTTACATGCGCAGGCACCTCCCCATAGTGACCGCTGAGTGGGGCTTATCGGGAAGTCAACCCGAGCCTCAGAAAGGACCTGTCATTTGCACGAGACAACACTCACGACCGGTTACTCAGTCTTGATGAAGCAGTGGTGCAGTCCTATGGCCTTTATGGCGGTGTACGGGGCATTGGCGGGGCCAGTAGATCTGGAGATTCCCGATGAGAGGACCGGGGCCAATAACAGCTGGCTAGTGGGTGGCTGTTAGATCTGGTAACCCAACCGCGAGGCGCAGCTTAGTGTAGTTGTTAGCCGAGGCAAGTCTCGAGCAGTGTCTTGTGCTGTGGGTTGTGGTTTGGAGGTTGAGGTCTTGGTCCATGAGACAAATTCGCTTGGCTCCTGTGCGCATATGTCCCTGAGAGGATGTTCGTGTTCCTACCAGCTGGAGGGGTGACACCTGAGGTTGTCCTGGTATATACACACTAGAAAATTTATAAGACCCATTTCAGGGATTTCGCTCTGGGACTGTTTCAATCGCTGAAGTGGCTCGCATAAGCACAATCTTACTCCTCATTCCGGATAAGTAAAGGCATTCGGCGGTTGGTCTGGGCGCCACGGGTAAATACGCATTAGTTTTTGTGGAATGAGATTACTAACCCTACGCCCATCCTTCCGCTTTTGCCAAGCTTACTACTAGCCAAGAGAAGTTTAGGAGTGCGTCACCCGGGGCTCGAACTCTGAACCATGTATGCAGTCAGCTAGCGTCCTACCGCCGCACCACTGACGTACAATCTGCACGATAATTACCAATTATAAGCGTAGGTATTCAATGTGTTATATATCAGCAAATCAGTTTTGAAGGTATTTATGATATCACACAACTGGTTTGGATTTTTCTCCGACTTTAATAAGCTAACAAGTGACATCTTATTATCATTAGACTGAAGAAATCAAATCTGTAGCCAATGGTTAGATATCAGTGAAAATAAATTAGCAATTTATTTTTATTTCATAAAAACATTCTCTTCATAAATTAAGTGCATGGAGGATTTCATCATGAGCTGACCTCAGTTAGAGAACCACTGGAAAACCAGCTGGGAGTACTGGACAGCTGTTTCGTCCTAGTTTGGGACTCTTCATCAGTACGCACTTACCGGGGTTCGAACCCAGGACCTTCTGGTTATAAGGCGAGCTCGTAGACCATTGAGCCACTGGGACTCAACGGAAATGTAATACCTAGGTGTCATTCTATCTGCTGATCTCTCCTGGTCGTCTCATATCTTAGCAATTTCTAAGAAAATATTCCGTCTTACCTTCTACATCAAGAAGTTAAAACATTCTGGTATTACCCAACCCTTACTCCTACAATTCGTTAATTCTCGCATCCTGCCTATTATTCTCTACTGTTCCCCCTTAGTTTCTCCCGGACTACTAAAGAAAGACTATAACATATTACGCAGGATGTTAAATGTGGTCAGCAGGGTAAGCAACGTGCCACTTAACCAGCTTGTTAATATTCTGGTCGACAGGCACATGGACTCATGTGAAAAATGGGCCAAGTCCATTTTATCTAACTCACACCACCCTCTTCACTCACAACTCTCCCCTCGCATCTCATCAGACAGGAGACCAGAAGCCAATATAGAAAACTATATGCTCGCACCAGCAAGTACAAAAACTCAACCATACCCTACTTAGCTCGTGTTCTGTGTGATAAATAAAGCGTTAGGCGTGACACCTACAATTCATTAAATAGTCAGTAGTAAAACTGGATCTCGTCTTTCCAACTCACATCATCAATAGGTACAACATTTTCTTTCTTTCTTTTCCTTTTTCTCTCTCTTCTTTTTCCGTTATGTGCTGCTTTGTTTCTTTCTCTCGCTTACGCCAGTTAATAAGACAGCTCGCACTTTTCTAACACCTTCAAACACTGTTCAACTTTGACTTTGCTACCGACATGCCAATATGTTGTTGTAATAATGAACTGTGATTTCCTTAATCTATGTAGAATTCTATTTTATTGATAATGTACTAACTGGATGCAATACTGTAGTAAAATTGCTGAGGATTCCATTCTGTATCACATGTACTGTTTTGGAATAAAGCAAATTATTATTATTGTTATTAAACAATTGAAAAACATAAATTAATAAATTATGAACTTACTTGATTAAATGTCTTGATGTTCAGAAGTTAGTTTCTGTGAAGAGTGATCAGAAGTTACACTAAGTAAACTTGAATGTACATCACCTAAATCTTCAGTATTTGATTTTACAAGTTTTGATGAAGATGATATTCCAGGAGGTTTATCGCTATCATATTTCTTCACTAAATCCAACGATGTATTACGATATAATTCATATGGAAATGAATATGAAAATCTTGGTTTTAATTTTGAATACTTGAAACGATATTTAGAATATGTACTAATATCTGGAAGATATAACTGCTCTTCAACTTCTTGATGTCCAGCATTAGAATCCTTGATATGAAAGGTCGCCATTTTATCACTATTGATTATACTGTTTCTTTGTGATGTTGATTTGCTTGAGATGTGTGATTGAGCACTAGCAAACTCAGTCATACCTTCTTCATCTAATGACGAATATATCGGATTAGTTTGAATGAATGATGAAAGCGAGGAGAATTTCATTCCTGTATTACAACCTCCAATAGTATTTATCACAGGTTCAGTATTATTATCCTTGTTAGTAGGTATACTGTTAATGTTACTTTTATTACTATTACTATTATTATTATCTACAGGATGAGAGTAATCTGATTTAGAAATATTTTTATTACTATAATCAAACATTTCTGAATAAAGACCGTATGATTTATGCATACCTTTGAACTTTTTATTTGATGATAAGCTGAGAGGTGGCCATGTAGGACTATAGGTCAAATCTAAATTATTGGAATGAAGCAGTTTACTCTTTTGTCCATCAAAAAAATCATATTCATCACTTAAAGAAAGTTTAGACTTTACCAGCAATGGTCTCTTTTCACTGTTTGAATGACGAATCAACTGATCCTTATTTAAATTACGGTCTACATTTGTATTTGACATAACAGAAGAATTGGAAAGTTCCATATTTTCATCTTCTCTATCATTATGCTCATCATTTGTTAAATAGTCCATTTTATGATAAAAGTCACGATGTGAATGTCCATGTTTGAATTTGCGAAAATTAGGTTTCAGCTTAGAGAAAGCAGTTAAATTGATAGTTGAATGTTGATTATCTAATGATTTTTGACCATGTGAATAGGGTAATCGGAAGACAGATAAACGATTCAAAGAGTTCGATTCAGTAGGATGATTTGGTGGGGGGTGTTGATCGCATAATTTATTTGTAGATGATTTATACTCACTACCTGCATCTTTCACTGCAGTATTTCCTTCAGTATTGTCAAAAACACTAACATTACTTGAAGATCGACCATTTTCACAGAGACTTTTTGTAATCGATGGTCTAACTTTTAGCATACGAGAAAATTTTGATATTGATTCATTTGTGAGACGTCGAGGATGCTTTGTATTTCCTTGGTGCAAGGCACTTATTATTGGATTGTTAACAAGTAGATTGCTGTTTGATTCTCTTGGGTCATTATTTACTGAAGATCTAGCCTGGTAAATAAAATAATAATTATGATAAGATTGATGATAATGCCATCTAGTGGCAAATGAAAATGAACATAAACCTCATTGAGCATATTCAACAAGACCATTCATAATTTAAAACACTACTAATGTACCTTTCTCTCTCTCTCTTTGTAGAATTCAGCCTGAACCAAATAAAGGACTAGACCCATCACACTAGTTACTAGTGTCCATTCAAAGTATCTACAATATTCCAACAGGAGGCCAATCACGAGCCCGAATAGCTCAGTGGTAACGTCTCTGACTGCAGCATTGGATGACGCGGGTTCGAATCTCACAAGGGATATGAGGTCCTTCAAGGCAATCGCAGATACGCCTACCTTGCCGACTGGTGACTGCCAACTAGTACAAAACCCAGGTCAAGCAAGGCTTCCTGTGGCCCATTGCCTCCAACCATCTAATATCATTAAATCAACGTACACCATGATGATCAGCTACCTAGAATGGTGGCCACATTGCAAATACCTGACTGATAGAATTCAGTCTGTACCAAAGAAAAGACAAGACACATCACACTAGTTAATGACTAGTGTCCAATCAAAGTACAAAATAAATAAACTATACTAGTCGGTATATACTTATTTTATTCGAAAGCAGAATTCAGTAGTGTGAAACACCTGATATAAAGAAAATTTTCCTGATTAATGCAGTGTTACCTGACACTATATAACGCAGGAAATACTTAGTTTCGTTAAAACTATTAATATGTATCATACTCATAGGAACCGTTACTTCACCTAATACTCATAAAACTCACATTTAACGCTCTCAGATGAAAAGTACAGTTCATTCCATAACTTATGCACAAAGATCCAATGGAGAATAAGTCAATACTTCATTCAGTGACCAATAAATGTCTTTTTTAACGAAAATTTGATGTTAATTATTATAAGTAGTATGAAGAGTTTTATTAGTGATAATGTTTCAGATTCATTTAACTTCAAACTTCATATAAAATTGTTAGCATTCATTTCCTCTTGTGACAGAACAATGGTTATTCTCACCCGTTCCTAATGGAACTTACTTGAAAAATGCATATTAACCGCTTACCTTTAAGTTTTCATGAGTTCGTTTGAAAAATAAAAGTAGTGAAGCGGACTTACTTGTCAATGTATATATCATCAAAAAGTGTCGACTAACCTCATTTATGTGAGTGAATATATAGAAATGTGGAAAATAATTTTCTGGTCAATTTCCACTGTCTTCAGGTTTACCCTATCAGTTTTTTTAAAATTTTAATAAGACATAACTCGTGATCATTTTTCCAAATATTTAGTGAAATTTAATTCAATTTAGATTTGCCGGTCGATTGATTAGACCGAAGAGCTCGGTCACAGGTTGACATGTTGGCTACTTGTGCAGATGCTTCGATGATGTCTGGTCATGTAACTTGAAGTTAACTGGTGGATGGGGACTAAGAGTGGAGTCCAGGATGCGCATCTCATCCTCTCTGGAACTCGTCAGCTGGCTGTACCTGCATTCCTCACAGAGTAATAGTGTTCCCACCAAGGCTGGAACCCAGTGCCCACGGTGGTCTAGTGTAAAGCCTTTTGGCTCTTGAAACTATGGGTACTGATTTCGACCCTCGGTGGGAACACTATCACTTAGTGAGGAATGTAGGTACAGCCAGATGACGAGTTCCAAAGAGGATGAGATGCCCATCCTGGACTCCACTGCTAGTCCCCATCCACCAGTTTGACTTCTGTTTAGTGAAATGTTTAAATAATCATTGTGAAACGATGTTCAGAGGCAAAGATCAGCCGTATAAATAACAAGAAAAGTATGAGATATGAAAATTTCCTAATATCTGAGAATGATATACTACCACTGAGAATTCTCACTTCTATCGGTCTGCCATATGCCATCATGAGTCAACCAAAACAGCTTGTTATCTGGCAAACTTAGTTAGTAAACTACAAACACAGTTTCTCAGTAATAATCAAAATGCCTTCATCACATTTGAAGTAGGTGTGAACAAAACTTTCTAAACTATCACTTTTGACCTAGTGTTTGGACCAAGTAGTTTTTAGTACAACAATAGACTAATCTATATCAATCTCTAAAAACATGATTATCGTATTTTCGATGAATAGTACTCAGTGGTTGGTCGAAAGTGTACATTATTTGAGCACAAGACAGGCTTTTCATCAGTGGGAAGTATACCTACATTTCAGTGAGTTATAGTGCTACTAGTGAGGCTCAAATAGCACCTTAAATTATTTCTTCAAATCATTTCCAAGCCACTTGAAAGTTCAGAGAAACTACTACTTGTACCTGTTCATATCCCATGGTGATGTAATTTAATTGCTTTTGATGTAGTTGTGTTCTCTGAGCTGGATGGTTTATCTGCGAACCTCTCATTGCCCCACTAGGAAACATCTTCAGCGCATAGTTCAATTTAAAGTAAGCTTTTAAATTTCTACACGAGTTTATTAGTCATCTCTTTCGGTGATCTTGAAAGTGACTGGTTGTTCTGTGTGTTTCTACACCCTCTAGGCTACTTGTATTAGTACTGATTATTCTTTTGACCTGAAGACTGACCCTTTGTGTGTGAAATTTCCTTCTTATCGGCTGGTAAACTTAGTCTATTTCGATGTGTTTATTGACTGACTATTCACTGGATTACCAGATGGGCTTCTAAAACTTCTCTAGCATCCTTGGTGTTTCCTCTGTCTAATATTTGAACGTTGTCCCAGTAGAAATGATGTCCGTGGTTGTTTGTATGCTGTGAGGCGACATGAGTGAGTGGATATCATGTCTTGCGATGGCTAGTACATGATCATTGATACGAAGAGGAAGGGGACGTGCACTCTGATCAATGTAGTGTTTCTCGTAGTCACTGCAACTTATTTTGAAGATGATGCTGGTTTCATCTTCCTTCGTTGTTGAGCCTTTCGGCTGACACAGAGTTGAGTCGAATAATTTTGTTGGTTTATGTGCGACATCGATTCTTAAAGGTTTGAAGAGTCTTGTAGTGTTTCCTGAGATGTCTTTGATATATGGCAAGGTGATTTTCTCTGTGCTACAAATCTCCACCATATCTCATTCAATTTTTTTTATTTCTCAGAATGAATATTAGCGAAATTTTTACTGACTATGTGACCTGATGTGAAGACCTTACACAGTCTTTTTTAAGGCTACTTTATAATTTCAACTACTGTAATTCGAATATTAACTTTAAGTGTAATTAATGAAATTTTTCATTATAAGAATAAATAAGCCTACATATATATATATAATTATGTTTTATGAATTTTAATATTACTTTCAGATAATAAAAGAGTTGATAAAATCGTGCACTTCAATTCACATAACTTCCTGTTTCCCTTTTTTGTAGAATGGATAAATTTTAAATGCCTTAACGACGTATAACTAAACTCAAATATATAACTTCATAATATAATGTCACATTAAGTAGGAAGTTCGCCTCACCAGATATCCTAAATTATTTGCACTAATTGCAAAAGTTATTTTTATGAACAGTTTTTTGATTAATTGTTTCCTTTACATTTTATGAAAATAAAACAGTGATATATATATATCCAAATATATATACTGAAAGCAAATGACAGATCAAATCCGTAAGAATCAGACATCCGAACGCATATATATAAATATATATGTTTTTTATTTTTTATTTCTTTAGGTTCCCAGTGGAACACACTAGGATTTGAGCTACAGCTTGGAAGTTACGGTAGCAGCGATATTTATTTTTACCGGGTAGAGTTGCCAGCTTCACGCCCAACCTTCCTTCCTTTTGCTGGTCTTAATACAGGCTTAGCGAAGTAAAGGAGTGTGTCAGCTGGGAGTCGAACCCCTGGCCACATGCGTGGTTGACCAGTGCAGTGAATAATAATACAATAAGTTACCCTACAAACGTATTCATTCTCAGTTTTCCATATCTTTGTGATTCATGAATAATCATATTAAATCTGATATTGCATATAAAATAAATAAATAAATCCCTAAAGTGCCAATAATTTTTTCATAGCATGCGATTTCGCGCCACCATAATCACTAGTAACTGACAACATGACGATGTTGTCTGGAATCCGAGTAAGAAGTCTTAACCAATGATGTCAACCAAGTTGGGTGTGTGAATAAATACTACCCGATAAGATTGGTTGGCTGTAGTGCTAAAATTTGAGAAGTGATATAGGTTAGAGAACTATCGAAAGCCAGGAAGGCTTCTCAGCTGTGCGAACACATTATCTCTCTAGAGATCAAACCAGGGACAGAAGTTAGAACTCACAAAGTAGTGGATTCTATCCCAGTGACTTAATGACCAACTGGCTCACCCAGTCATCTGTAGGTCTTAGGTTCATTCCGCGATGGGGTCATTGGTGAGTAGTGCCGAACAGTCCGAAACTAGGACGCCGCAGATGTTCAGTAGTCATTGGTTTTCAATAGTCCCCCAACTGATATTAATGGGTGACCAAAACTTGAAACTTATTATGTCTTTTGAAGTTTCCAGATACTGAATCAGTATAATAGAGAGGTCAGACAAGAAGTACATCAATCTCTATGCGGCCTTCTGTTGTAACATGGTTACTATTTTTATTACCTAAATTGAATTTCTACAATCATATCCTAATCAGATTCAACAGCTTTTATGAGGCTGACAGTGAGTATTATTTTTCTTCCCGAAATGCGTTGATCAGCATTTAATTATTTCAAGATATTTTCATGAGAAAAACACATTGACCAGTATCAATGAGAAAGTGAAATCCCTAAGTAAAAGAAAAAGAAAATCTTTAAGTCAACCTTCATAAAAGTACATACCATCATAAATTATCCAACGTAGTGAAAAAATGTCCTCCAAATGAGTGTCTCCTAATTGAACGGGTTTTAAGTATCTTTTATTTTGTTCCTTTATGTTCCCAGTGGAAAACACAGGGATTCAAGCTAGAGCTTGGAAGTTTCGGTAGCAGCGATGTTATTTTTACCGGGTAGAGTTGCTAGCCTCA